CTTTTGAATTGTGGTTCAATAAAATCATAAAGAAAAAACAAACTAATGAAAAACTGTCCTGGATAAAAATGATGCTACCTCCAGAAAAGATAGAGGGACATGTTCAGCTCAGGCATCACAGGTGTCTTCAAACTTACAATCTGTCAGTCTGCTTATTTAAAGAGTGACCCACTGTGCTGTTTGGTATCGTGGTGTGCACCATGCTGAACATGGACCAGATGAAGCAAAGGACAGAGTCGTCTCACGAGATTAGAAAGAAAATTATAGACAATCATGTTGAAGGTAAAGTCTATCAGACCATCTCCAAGCAGCTTGATGTTCCTCTGACTACAGCTGCACAGATTATCCAGAAATTTAAGAGCCATGGGACTGTAGCCGACCTCCCTGGACGTGGCCGCAGGAGGAAAACTGATGGTAGATCGAAGAGACAGATAATACGAATGGTAACAAAAGAGCCCAGAACAGCTTCCAAAGAGATTAGAGGTGATCTTCAAGGTCAAGGTACATCAGTGTCAGACAGCACCATCCGTCGCTGTTTGAGCCAAAGTGGACCTAATGGAAGATGGCCGAAGGCAGGACACCACTGTTGAAAGGAAATCATTGAACAGCAAGACCGGAATTTGCCAAACTGCATGTTGACAAGCCACAAAGCTTCTGGGAGATGGTGATTTGGACAGAAACTGGAGCTTTTTGGCACATCAGCTCACAGATGCAAAAATGAAGCATTCACAGAACAGAACACCGTCCCTACTGTGGAACATGGAGGAGGCTCTGTTGTGTTCTGGGGCTGCTTTGTTGCATCTGGCACAGGGGGTCTTGAATCTGTGCAGGGTCCAATGAAACCTCAAGACTATCAACGTATTCTAGAGAGAAATGTGCTGCCCAGTGTCAGAAAGCTTGGTCTCAGTCACAGGTCATGGCACCTCCAACACCTCCGGAGTTTCGATCGATGAGGCATAGCGTCGCCTGCAGCTCATTTGCATAAAGTAGACTTGACTTCAACTTTCTGTGAATTTGGTGAATTTTGGCAAAATCGCCTCTGTGGACACGTAGCGTTGGGTCTTGATACAAAACAAACAAACAAACAAACAAAAAACAAGCCAAAAAGCCCAACTTTCCGCCCAACAAGCCAAGCAATGCGGTCTCGTCTTCCATCACTGTTCACCAAACTTTCTTATGCACTGACGTCTGGATGACGTCTAACTGAATCCTGCATCTATTTACTGTAAATTTGAGGCGTAATTAGCTCATGCAGTGATATCCATTTCATTATTTATTCAATTCCTGGCAAAAACAAAAAACAAAAACCCAAACCAGCATGTTTTTATTGATACTAAAATGCTTTCTGTCTACTTTAGAACCAGGACGTTTGCTGCTCAAGTGAGGACGAAGCGGTGCTTTACTCCAGAAATGAGGGATTTGGATGCTGTGGTCACCTATATTTCAGCTCGTCTCTGTGGTCGTGCTGCGCAGGGATGCTGAGGCCAAGACACAAGCAGCAGAGCGAGATGAATGGTCATTGCCTTTGCTTGGATGTCATCTCACATAGTAGCACTTGTTTTGAGTGTCCATCCGTGCCCATCGCTGCTTTTTTTTTGGTGAACACAGTAGCTGTTGGACGCCTCCGGAATTTCATCAAATTTGGCACAAACACTCACTTTAGATTTTGGTGTCAAAACATTAAGAGTCAAGGCCACGGCGCCCTGTTTGCCATAGCTTAAGTATTCATGTCCTAAATGTGATCAGATTTCCCACAAATGTGTAATAAGATAAAATTATGAAGTGAAGACCTTTTAATATCCAGAAGGTCAGAGGTCAACGTCATTAAGTTCTACCAAAACCACTTTTATTTGGGGGAGTTGTTCAACCTCATAACCTCGGAGCAGAAGAGGGGAGACGGCGACCAAATTTGTAAACTGATGCTGAACTGATGAAGCTAATCTCGGGTGTTCAGTCCGCACAGAGATGGATGAAAACTGCAACTACACAAATCATTTCTTTCAGTTCGTCTGGTTCCTCCATGTCATGTGTGTGTATGTTGTTCTTTTTCAGAATGCAGTCTTCTGTCCGTGAACAACATGAATGATGAAGAACTTTGCCAACAAAGTAAGATATCACTTCATGATTGGATTTACGGTGAACTTGGGGGAAAACATTGCTGTCAGTTGTAGTTTTAACGTGTTTCTTCATGTCCTTTCTTTATTCAGTCTACATCGGAATTGTGGAAAGTGTGTCTCTGAACAGCATTTTGTTCACAAATGTGCTGAAACTCAAAGGAAGACGTGGTAAAGTCCAACCTGTGGCCGTCCCCCGCATGCTGACGACACCCAATCGCTGCAACACCACGAAACTGACTGTTGGGAAGTTTTACTTCTTTGATGATGTCGGTGTTTTCGCTGATTTCAACCATGACACTGAGCTCCAGGCACTGTTTTTCTTATTCATCAAATGCTCTCCGTAGGTCACCACTGCTTGATCTGCTCCTGTGTTCATTGTCAGTGTTATTCAGTAATTCATTACTTTGAACAAATATTCAATCACATTTACACACTTACTTATTACACTGCAAAAAAAAAAAAGTTACATTAATATATTACTATTGCTGCATCATTATCAGGGACATTACATGGAAAATAAATATCAGTGCCTGTTCAACTGCTACCTGTTCAGGCCCGTTGCATAACCTCCAGTATTGCTGCAGGCAGCTTTCTCAATACCAACAAGCAACCACTCGTCCAAACAGTTATCAAAACAGTCCAAAGCAATAAAACTCAAACGAGCTGACACCTCATTAGATATGACCAACCACCAGAGAGAGAGACACCAGCTCTACATTGCTCTGAGCATTGTTTAGTCTTTGTACTTGATAAATCTCTTTTTTTTTATTACCTTAACCTCTGATTTTATGAAATATTCTAAAGATAACTTATTAGATTTTTAGAACAACTATTTTGCCCCAAATTAATATAAAGAAGTGTCAATAATTGTTTTTTTTTTTTTTTAACATTTTATTCAAACATATAATTATCATGTCACTGCTGTGTTATTATGCTAATGATAATAATAACAGCTGTTCTGGTGCAATAAGCCATTTCCAGTTTGCAGTGTCTACAGAGCACCACGCTGGTGGTTCTAAAATGCTCCCACACATAAGACGATTGTGGACGAGGACTTCCTAGATGCAGCTTGTTGTCCAGGCTTTGGTCAGGTGCAGCCATCCTTGCAACACGTCGTCGTCACTGTTGTTGACGATGGCGTTACGTCGGTTAATTGCGCCGGCTCTACCGCAGACTGTCCTTTAATGGGTTTTTTAAAAAAGTTTTATTTCTTTAGAACTGCTCATCCAAATCACTTCAAACACCACACTGCACTTCTTCAGGTCCCTAGAAAATACACTGCCAAGTTTGAAGTACGTTGGATGAACAGTTGTCTGGAAAAGCAAAGCACAGACACACACACACACACACACACACACACACAGTCATTTCTTCATTTGTTTAGTAAGCTGTTACTCTGTCCATCTCATCTTCTCTGCCAGTGAGGTGACTGATGGACATCTGGTCTTGATGTTTGGAACCCAGCAGAACTTTTCCAATGAGTTTCAAATCTGAAACAATCACACAACTTGTCACTAAAGACAGTAATCGGTGCTGTAACACGGTCCACACGGTGCAAGGGGACATATTCATTTGTGCGTCGTCGTTCTGATCCATGTGAATGCTGGTAGCAATAGTAACCAAAGTCTGGTAAAAGCTGTGCTGCTCTCTGCAAACTAATCTGTCCAAGCTCGTGTTGGTTTGGTGTGAAGAAGAAGCTGTCGTTGTAGCAGGTAGCCAGAATATAGCTTTGTGTTCACATAAGCTCAACTGCTGGCAGCTCATTCTGTTTGTTTTTGAAATACTGGAAGAAATATTTCTGTGTGCTATGTTCAGTTTTGCATATAATATATGGCAAGTGTTTGCACATCACATAAACTGAATGTTTACATGTACATGATGAACATTTATGAGTGAAAGATTGACTCATGATATCCTGATTGATAAAGCGAGTGATGTAAATGAGAAGCACTGCATCAAAAGATATGAGGGACACCAGTATGCGACCCGCAGGTTTGATGCCTTGGATTGACGTGACTGTAGGCAAAGTTGTGTTCCATGTAATGTGATTTCTGTACTGTAACATGTCGCAGTGGAAATGGTGGTTGCTTTGCATTTCTGTACTGTGTATGTAAATGACATAAATTTAAGCTAAACGGGACAGAAAGCGTTTTACTGCATACATAACTATGCTTGCTGACATTACTGGTATAGCGCTTTATATTGCATGTTTATTATTAATACATGACGGGACCTACTGTCGTTTCTTTAATCGTAATGTTTCAAAAAGGCAATAAAAAGAAACACTTGCATTCAACCTGTTGTGTTGGTGT